TCCGGGCTGAGGCACGAGATAGTCAGGCTTGATCGGTAAATAAACGGGCCGGGAAGGGGACGACGACCCACGCTTGTTCCCGATAGGGCAAATCCGGGAAAAGACGTCCCCAAAAGCACCTGTCCGATAAGCAGCAGCCGGCGGGTTTTAGGCGGCAGGGCAACGGGCCTCGCCCAGCTTGGGAGCTCTCCCTGCCCTCAGTGAAGAGAGCGAGCACTGTGGGGCACGGAACATCAGTAACACCCAGGAAAAAGAGACTTTCTCTAAGTGTCTGTGGACTTACAGACTAATTCAAGCACAGCTGCACTGAGGAATACAACAGCACCTTCCACACCACAATGAGGGAAAAGGAAGAGAAAGGTAAGGCTTAGCAATGAATACGTACCTGATGATTTACTCTATTCTCCCAAAGCCTTCAGTCACTTAAATTAATTCTGCTGCAAATAAGCAAGCGAATAATTCTAACCTAACCATAACCCTGCTGAAGTTTACCTCAGCAATACAAAAAAAAACTTTTTAAAAGATGCTTTTCAAATTAATGCCACCTGGCTTCACATTGAGAAAGCTGAGCTGAGAGAGTAACATTTAAAAGAAAAAGCAACTGGAATTTAACCAAATTTTAAATTATTGCCTTTTAAGAAGCAAAATAAGAACAACTTAGCTTAGAATGGACTCTAGAGGCCCGCTAGGTCCAAACCCTGCTCAGGCTGCACAGGGCTCTGTCCACCACGTCCAGAGCAGCTCCAGGGATGGAGCTCCCACAGATGGCCGCTATGGGCCCCCACCCCATCTTGTCCCAAATCCTCAGTCAAAACTCCTGTGGCAGCTAATGGTAATTTTCCTGATGCTGCTTGTGACCATTTCCACTCATCTTTCACCGTGCAGCTTGAGAACAGTCTGACTCTTGTCTTCTTTGTAATCACCCATTAGGTGGTTAAAGACAGCAGTCAGATTCCCCTCTTCATATGCTTCTTTTTAGGCTAAACAAACCCCATTAGCTGATGTAATATACTTGCTAGTTGTCAGGAGTTCACAGTAGCATTTCTGATTGTACAAAAGACCAGTACAGCACCAGGAATCTGACGGAAAGAAAGTAAAGCCATTATTTACAACACTGCCACAAATAAAAAAATGTTTTCTCATAATCACCTCTTTGGAGCTTGTATATTGTACATAATATTAGCACTGGGGAAAAGAATTAGACTAATTTAATTTAAGCAGACTAGTCATTTGGGAACAGGACAAAGTAGTACAATCATTTCTAACTAGTTTAGAGCAGTTCTTTAATTGTTTCATATATGTAAAAACAAGAAATTGGTACTAATGTCTTTGTAATTTTTTCATTAACACAAAAATACTGCATTAAAAACAATAGTATGGAAATGTACAAAGGCATTTCAAGTTAAGGCTTCTACAGATATTGCATGTTCTGTAGTTAAACATCTATTTTGTAAACTTGTTCTAAAACTTTCCAAGTAACTAAACAAAAAAGCTCAGTTAAAGTCATATTCCATTATGAGGCTTAATGGAAAGTACTTTGTAAAATAATTAGCCATCAAACTGTTAAATGTGACTTTAAATGGCAACCTCAAACATCATTAATTTAAATATGCATATACTCGGACCCTCCCAAAAAGATAACACTGGAAAGGCAAGGCTGGTTTGAAATACTGATCCCATTAAGTTCATTAACTTAATCCCTGCTCAACCATCTAAACAAACTACTGTATTTCACCTTGAGAATGAATCTGGCTCTTGGCTAGCATTGCTTTGTCCAAAGGATACTTGGAGGGCCGATTCCTAGTAATAATGTCAGAAATCAAGCAATGATGTTATTCAAGTTTTTCCTGTACTGATGCGATGCCTTAGCACAGTTTTGCCTGAGGTCCATACTTTATGGGCAAAATTATACTTCTTACCATGCCAAGTTGACAGAAATGTCAAGCAGCAAAGAGAAGCCATTATTAATCTCATCTTCAGGAGCTCAACGATTCTGTAAATCAAACACACCACGTCTGGAGAAAGTGTGGTGACAACTTACATAGGAACATTAAGTAGTGCCTCATCCCCCATCTCTTACAGCCAAATCATGACAAGAACCTCCAGTGCACTACTGAAGGGGAGCAGCACCCTGAATCTCTCCATTTTAATGTACAATGCAGTGCCAGCCATAGTTTAGCTCTACAGTTTTGCAAAAATACATACACAGGAGCCATAACAACTTTAAAAAAGGTTAACAGCTCCTTCCCACAACAAACTGAACGCCCCAGAATGCAGCCAACAGCTGTGGAACGTCTTTGAATTCTGATAGAACCCCCTCCTCCCCCCCAAGATTACCACAGGATTTAAAAAATGTCACAAACACTGAATTTTTGAATTGCTTACATTTGCTGGATGGACATAACAGAACTCAAGTCCTCAACAGGGCAGCAGCTGCCCTAGTTATTCATGTTCCCATCCTTGCTTTAAAGCAACTCGGGTAACAGCATAGAAAGTTACTGGCTCTTTAATATCCCCCTTCAAGTCTTCTGGCTACTCTTAACTGCACTACTGGAAAGTACAGAAAGTCTCCAGGGAACGTTGACAACTGCACACCCTTTACAACCACACTTAGACACATTAAATAAAACACTGCAAAATCAATACATATTAAATAACATATACAGATAGGTTTGGGGTTTTAGGTGATACTTTCTTGAGAAATTGATTTCAAACTAGCTCTTGTCTATGTCTACTAAGGAGATTGTTTCATCCCGCAATACATCTGTATTTATTCACATGTGCAATGCTTTCATTTTGCCACTTTAATATAAAAGAAAAAGAATGTTGGCTATCATCGTCAAAACCCACCAACTACCACTATTACTACTACATCACTACACAAAAGGTGGGTTGCTGCAGAGTTTTTGTTTTGCTTTAGTAAGCATTTTCTTGTAATTTTAAGAAGTTTCCCATTCCATCTGTGTTCAGCTCTGGGGCCCCCAGCGTAAGAAAGACATGGACCTGCTCGAGTGGGTCCAGAGGTGGGCCACAAAGCTGATCAGGGGGCTGGAGCACCTACCCTATGAGGACAGGCTGAGAGACCTTAGCTTGTTCAGCCTGGAGAAGAGAAAGCTCCAGTGAGACCTTATAGCAGCCTTCCAGTACTTAAAGGGGGCCTACAGGAAAGATGGGGAGGGACTCTATCAGGGAGTGTAGTGATAGGATGAGCGGTAATGGCTTTAAACTGAAAGAGGGTAGATTTGAATTAGTTACTAGGAAGAAATTGTTCACTGTGAGGGTGGTGAGGCACTGGAACAGGTTGCCCAGAGAGGTTGTGGATGCCCCCTCCCTGGAAGTGTTCAAGGCCAGGTTGGAAGGGGCTTTGAGCAACCTGCTCTAGTGGAAGGTGTCCCTGCCCATGGCAGGGGGGTTGGAACTAGATGATCTTTTAAGGTCCCTTCCAACCCAAACCATTCTATTCTATTCTATTCTATGATCCTAACACAAAACAACAAACATCCTTTTTGGGGAAATCGATCTCCATCAAAATAGGTAGAAGTAGGAACATCTTTAACATCTGTGAAATCCAAGTTTCTTTAGAAAGAGCAGTGAATAACACTATTCTCTTGCCATACAAGATAAGGAGAAATCGGAACACTATTCCTGTGAATGGCTTTGTAATAGTTATGCATCCTGACTGTTGAGAAATTACAGGACGTACATATATCCTTTTGGCAACCCAAAAATACCCTGCTTGATTAAAAGATGCATTTAGGTATTCATTAGCTGACCAAACTGTTGCAACATTAAAACTTCTGTTTCTTGTATCTACATCAACTTGAAGAACTTGTTATCATCAAGACCTTAGTCAAGAGAACTAAATTGAGATGAAAAATAAAGTGTCCTCTTTTAAGTAATTACTAAGCAAAATCCCTGACAATCCAATCCCTTATTCTAGCAAATACTTTTTATGACAACTAAACCCAGATTATTTTATGCCTACTAACTTTGTGGGTTTTATGTTTCTTAGCTCTGTCTTGTTACAATCTTCCTTAGACTATTTTCTTCATAAGATTTGTTTTAATCTGTAGAGAATATTTAGCCAAATCAGGTAAGCCAACTCCTATCAGCATTGATTGACAGGCGGATCAAACTATACAACTCGGAGAGTGAGTTATAAAGAAAGTATGTTTATTTCGGTGTCGAGTGCAAGGGGATTTCTCCTCAAAGCTTGCACACTGTCTCAGCAAGCAGCCAGATATTTATTACACCAAAGCATACATATTCATAGCGTTACACAATACAAAATACACATATGTATAAGTTGGGGTGGGGTTAGTTCAAAAACTTGTGTCAGCAGTTCTAAAATGTTTATGTCATCTTGTGCAGGCTCAGATCTGTCTCTGGTGGTCGTTTACTTCTTCAGGGGTCTTATCTTCCTCTTCTTCTTCTGTCCTCTAAATAAACTTTAGTCATTTACGCATGCTCTCTTCTTACTTGGTGATTTCAGCAGTTTTTAACAAGTCCTAACAAGTTCTGTGGTAAGACTAACATTGCAGTTCCTGTTATCACTCCCTTTGTTTGGCATGTCAGTCCTTGAGGAATACCAGTCCCTGATAAGCTTAACCCTTGACAGACGCCACAGGCGCCAGGCCCTGGCAAGTGAGCCTTGAAAGAACAAACAAGGCCAACAGAATTATTAAACAAATATTAAGTGGTCAAAAGGCAAATAGTTATTTCCTGTATCAGCATTAGTAACAAAAGCAGGTTGTTCAAAGACTGTACAGCAGTCAAAAAAGCACTGAATACCTGATCTTCTGCATGCACCTAGTTTCTGTGGCTATACAGGTAGCAGTATTTACAAAATCACCTTGACTTTATGCACTAGAGATAATCTACTTCATAAAATAAAAGCAAAAGTATAAAAGTTTTCAATCACATTTGGAAATTGTAGCATACATAAAAAGATCAAGATCAAAATCAAATATATACAATATAAAAATACATTTTTTTCTTTATGAAAGTTATAATACATGGCTATAATACACAACATGTTGAGCCATCAGTCACAGCTACAATATTTGCAGATGCTTGTTCCACACTATGGCTGGACTCTGGGTATGATATCTCCCTGGGGAAATTCCTCTATTTCAGCATGAAACATCAGTTCTAAGAGAGAAAGAAAAGAATTATGTTTTCTTTTAAAAGTTTCACCTGAATACAATTTCATTATTCCTGGAAAGTGCTCTAGCATTCCCCCAAGCCTCCTGCTTTTCTTCCCAATTATAATATCAACAACTCTGCAATGGCAAGGGCCACCACTGTCTTTAGAAAACTATCGTTGCCTCCCCAAATTGACAGAATTAGCGACGATGTTAGCAGCTGATCCTATGCAGTATCATCCTGCATTCAACCTGGACACTGAAACAACTCTAGATTGAGGGATTGTTGGAATTTTGAGAGTTTCAGACTCAAGAATGAAGATTTCTGTTTAGAGACTCGTTCACTTATGGATAAATCTGCTGTATGTTATCACAGCGTAAGTTAGCAACACTAGAACCTGGGATAGAAAGAATCATGAATGACATTGCTCACAGCTAGCTGTCACCACGGCAGCTCAGGCACAGGAGACAGCCTAAGGTCAGCAGTGAAGAGCTCCTTGCGGAGAAATTCAGCTAGGCACGCTAAGCAACTGATGAGGTAGACCTTGTGGAGCTCTGTGCTGCTGAGGGTAGAGTTTTCTTGTATCTGGGTTCCCTTATGTATCTATACTGCACCCTCAGTGTAAGTGTACTTTCTGTCCTGTAAATAGCACATTCAGCATATAGACCAGGCTGTGTTTTCCAACAACCTGTCAAAATGGTAAAAGTTACACAATCTGTACATGCAACAATGTGGTTTATCCACTCAGGTTTGAGATGCACATGTTTTTGCTACCTCATCCTTAGTAGACTAAACTTTCTCTACTATTTGGGATAAGTCCTAATAGAATTTCTCTCTTGAAATGTCCAAATCAGGTTTTCTAATCTTAGGAGGCACATGTAAATATCAAAAAAGTTCATCAAAACCAGAGTTAAATCCCGCCACTGGCTTCCTTGAATAAGTCTTTATTATTTAAAAAATGGATTTTAAATACAATTTAAACACATATTATAAATTTTACTATCAAAGATTGTAAAGGCTGCCACCTAGGTTTTTTTTTTAACTCATTGAGTTATTAGAAATAAGCAGAACTGGGGCCACTGAAATAAAGGAATGTGTACATTAAAATTCTAAAGTAATCTGAAGAAGCATGTTGAATCTTCTTCAGCCTCCCAAACACAAATCTGTGCTTCAACTCATGATTCTCTTTGGATACCTGTTGACTTTTAAGTTGAAACTTAGGAGTTTTATGTGCAGCATAGCTTCAAGTCCCAGGCTGCATGCACTTGATAGGAAAGCTGAGTTATGATACACCTTTTGGATCCCATTTGGAACAACAAAAGGAAGAAGGCCTAGTCTGTAGCAAAGCATCTTCTAAGAAAAGGGGATGACTTGCTTGCCCCCTCCTCCAGCCTGGACCAACACAAGCAGTCCTCATCTGAAGTCCTGTTCTGCAAGCACAAATCTGACTTTTCAAAGTTCTGGAGTTCCCAAAACTACTGCAATGTTCTATTGAAAATAATACTGAACTTGAAATGCATTCAGCATTTGTAGCAAAAGGAACATTAATAATATTGGGGAATTTTCTAAAACACAAGCAGAATAAATACATTTCAAATATTCAAAATCTTGTTAAAGTAAAAATTATTTTTCCCTTCAATGAAGAAGAGGCACGTGCTCTCTCATGTTTCAAAAGTCACGTTGCTTCAGACAGGACAAACAAGGCTTTTCTTTCCTTTCTGAATTACTGTTTTTTCTTTATAAAAACAAACACAGAGACCAGCATCCTAAGAAGCACTTACTTTGGAAAGTTGTTAGGAGATGCTTGTTTTTCTGAAGCCACAAAATTTCTCAGGACTAGTCTTGAACACCAAACACAGAGCACAGCAGATAAAAGCCTGAACAAACAACATTTTGCCTATTAATGTTTCCTACCTTCACTGTGGTCTAGCTCTGGTCGGTAAGACAAGAAGATCCAACTTGTCCCAACTAGAATAGACACTACCAGATTCACCACAACCCATGGCTGAACAATTTCTTCCTCAGTACCTGCCATCCTGGGAAGAGCACATCAACCCATCAGTCAGGGATTTGCTGGTACATACAGGTTACAATAATAATTTCAACAGACTATCATAAAAACAAGCTTGGTAAGCCAGACGTGAAAACAGAAGTACTTGTACTATCCTGATGGTCTTGCATTGCAAAGGCCTGGTAAAGAGAGCGACTACCAAAGACAGCAAGTCAGCTAAGAAACCCCATTATCTCACAGAGAATATCCACTTGTAGATTTCAACAGCAAATTCCTTTTCTTGGCCAAGAGACAGAAAATAAAAATCAAGATGCCTGGTCATATTTTACTGTGGTGAAAGACACCACACAATGTCATCAATCGATGTTATTTTTAAGCACTTTCTCATGAGGCAGCAAGGCAAGTCAACAGGAAGTCAGTAAAGTCTGTCTGAAAGCCAGTGAAAGGACTTGTGTACAGATGCTGCAGGGTAGATGAGATAGGGCTTTAAGAAGGTTATGATTTAAGTTAGCTGACACTTTTCTTGCTGTCATAACAGCAGCAGGTTGTGGTTTTGTTACTAGAATCTAGGCTTTTTAATAAACAACTCAACATTTACAGAAGCCCTGAAAAAAAAGAAGAAAAATCTAACCACCCAAACCAGCTAATTTTCACGTAAATGCTTTTGTTCTACTTCTCCTGGTCTATTTTAAAAACTCGTGTTACTAGAGTTTAAGTCCATTAAATATCTACTTCAGAAAGTAACAGGTTTGGATGGGATTGCCTAGCATGAAACAACGCTTCATATTTAATGCCAGCTGTGTCTGCTAAGCCATTGCATCCTGTGGCAGACATACCACTTTTTCATAATACCATGACATTCATTTCTTGGACAGATTAGACTATCTATCTCCTTCAAAACCAGTGTTGACTCTCTACAGAATGGCCTGCCCTTGAACACAAAAGGGTTACCTCACTAGGGTCCCATTTTCCAGCAAAAGAGGTTCTTACCATTCCTGTCAGATAACATTTTCATCATCATTCCAACAGGCTCTTGTTTGAGGTGTCATGGATTTGCAACCAACATGACCAAACCCCTCCTTGAGTTCTCATTTTTCAGTGAAATTATCAAAGATTCAGGACAAGCTCAGACAAAGGCAGGTTTAGTAATGAAATCCTTCATTAATACTTTCTTCTGTAAGTTGTATAACCTTTTCAATCCACCAGTCTGACTAATATTCCTAAGTGAGCTATGTTATAATTTACAGAAATGATTTCTTAAGTTTCCTACCAGATGCTGCCATTTTCTGAAGGTGGTGTGTAGAGGTTAATTCTGTCACATGTCATCTGCTGGCTTAAGGATAAGATAAGAGCAGCAAAGTACACTGGAAAAAATTGAATTAGTAATGTCAGATATAAACCCCCAAAATGCTGTCTTCATCATGTCATGATAATTATCGCTACATTTTCTTTCCTTTCACTCCACTGCCTCCAATGATAGTTTCCTTTAATTCATTTTTTCTTCTTCAACATTCCCCTGACCCATCAAAATCTGGTTTCTGCACTTTTGCAATCCATCAGCTACATCAAAGGTGGTATCTTGTGATTTTGGTTTTTGCTAGGTCTGTGTTCAGTATGCAGAAGTGGGAAAAGAACTCTCTCGCTAACAGCCCCACTAATGCTACTATTGCAAATGCTTTAAAAAAATACGTAGCAAAGTGTTCACAGCCTTTGAAAGCTATTTTAAACTACTGAGCAAGTCACTTATTCTAAAGCAGAAAGTCATGAGGGAGGAAGATTTCACTGAAAACAGTATGTAGGATTCTTCCATTTACTGTCTTTTCTGGACAACTTCCTATCAGCTTCAAAATACTTACAGAAAGAGGCTACTGCTGCTGGGTCTAGGGTAAGAAAGCCCCTCAGTGCAACCGACGCTGTTGCCAAATCAATCCTGATAACAAAAACAAGGGTCATTAACACAGCCCAGTAAGATAATAATATTGTTCCTCTAATAGTATTCTATTGTTCTTTTACTTTTTGCGAGACACCTTCTTCTGCCTCTGTTACAGTGCCTTAATACACAACTTTATCCCACACACATGGCAATGGTCCTCATTATGCCAAATCCAAGAAAGACTGAAACTAAGGAGGATGTTCCATGAGGTTTGTAGCTTTCACACTGCAGTCCGTTCTGGAACATGGAGAATGTAGAGAGATCTGTCCCCTCTCTAATCCTTAGCATTCATTTTAGTGTCCACACCACCAACCAAGTTATGCTAATGTAACTGCTCACATAGCTTACACCACTACAGGAGCAATGAAGAGTAACTCAGGCCTCCTCCCTGCCACCACTCCAGGAAAAAAAAGACACAATTTCTTCCATAGCACCAACTCCTCCCCTGGCTTATTATGCTGCCATGGAAACTACCTGTAACTAAAAGAAACATCTATAAATCCATTCTGTTTATGGTCTTTTTTGCTCCTCTTTCTGTTCATTCCCACTCTTAAGCTGTAATGCAGAAACCCTAGCTAAGCCAGGAAAACCATTTACACAGCTGTGTTGCAAACCTGACTGGGCAATGGATTCACGTGAAAAGTAACCCCATAAAAACATCAGTTGTTCTCCACCACTCTCCCCCACAAAAAAAAAAACCAACAGGTCAGCTTTTCCATCTGGTTCACCTCATGATCACACAGATAGCACCAGGACATTGATGCGAGGCAGCAGGCAATGGACAGAAATGTGTAACAAAGGTCTGAATGCACAAGTACACCCTTTATCTGTATAGCCAGCCATGTGTAAAATCATTCTTAAGTGTATCACAAGAAGTCATCAACAGCAGATCAAAACGTGCCATAGGAAAGAGAAAGGAACAGATTGCACACAAATTACATACACCTTTCAAACACATATTTTACCTGTCAAAGGCTGAGACTGTACTGATAGACAGCAACAAATAGAACAAACTTTGAGCTGGGTATGCTAGCGTCTTATACTGCTCGAGCAGGTTAGAAACCGTGGAAAGCTGATTTCCTGCCAAAACGTAGATAACAATGACGTTCCACACAGCATACCCAGCAAGGAAGCCATGGGTAAAGAGTCCAATCACCCTGAATGAAGAAAAGAATATTAGACAAGTTTAACATCTTGAATTGGCAAAGAACTACAGATAGAAAAGGTCTATGAATCCATCTGTTCAACCCTGCTGCCGTGACAGGATCCCAGCCTTTTACAGATTGTTTCTGAGTGCTTTTTCTGATCTAGTTTTAAAAATTCTAAGCAATGGGACTTCTGCTTCCTCCCTTGACAGACTGTACCAGAACCTGAGCACTTAACAAAGAAAACCGAGATGTTCTGCCTGATCCTATCACTACTTCATTACTGCTACAGGAATCAAATACTTTCACTCACTGCCTGTAGCTTCTCAAGACCACTGCCCCTTACACTTACACAATGCTCTTAAACTTGTCTTCAAGTCAATCTTTTCATTATCTTCCTTGCTAAGAAAAAGCTGAGAAGGAAGCACAGGCTTCCAGATAAAATACACCAGAGAAGAAAATGGCCTTCATCTTCCCATTCTTTATCATAACACAACCACATATTAAAAAACAATAATCATTTTTGCTATTGTGTGCAAGCTTATGCCCCAGTCCAAATTCACTCCTCCCTCTTTTTCACCAACCAGGGTTTTTCTTGAAGAACTATCTGAATTGAGGGATTTTTATTCTGGTCATACAGCTGATGGGTGAATCTCGTTTTGTAACACATTTTTTCTGTAGGTCTCTAATATTTTTGTTATCAGATCCATCTCTTTGCTATTCAGATTTTGTCTGAATCTTTGCAATATGACTTCCTTAGTTATTCTTTTTATAAGTTGCATTTCACACTGTCTAGTGATGTCTAGACTAGAAGCAGATATTCTTGACAATAAATACCAAAAGCTAGTGGACTGAGAAACTTTGTACCTGTTGCATCCTGAACCATCATTTATTAGGAAAATCCAAAAGAAATAAAGATACATCACAATGATAGAGAAAAGCTGCTAACTTTCAGGGAGAAGAAAAAAAAACCCAAGCCAACCCTTATTTCTGCTTATTTACATCAAAACATTTATCTTTTACCTGAAACTTCGGTGCACTGAAAGGGCAACATCTCTGGTAGTCCATGAAGCCTTCACATCCATAAGTACATTGATATTGTCAGTGGTTTTAATCAATTCTGTACGGTCGGCTGCCTGAAAACGCCCTGAAAGTATGAGGAAACTAGTTTTAGACAGTACTGTTACCTTCCATCATAATTCCTACATTAATACTTATTAGTGTTAAAAAGCTGTAAGCATCAGAGTTCCATCAGAAAATTTCTTCTCCCCACTTCTTGCCCTTTGTCAGCTTACATTTCTACCAGGATGCATCTGTCAGTGTGATGCATCCTGGTGGGTCAGGCTATGGATTTAAGAATGTGCAACGCACTTCAGGTAATTACTCAGTGTTCCCTGGTATGGAAAAAAAAAAACAAAACCAAAACAGCACAAAAACGAACAACCAAAAACTTCCACTTGAAGGACTTTTTGCAATGTAGTAAATGATACTTTCTTCTCAAAGTACTGTGACAGTATTAGGTCAAATAAGCTCAGCTGCATACTATCAAACAGCCTTTTTCACCCACACCATGGAATTAAAAAATTCAACCAAACATGCCAGCACAGCGACACTAACATTCACTGTTGAAAAACTATCATGTATATTTATTTCCAAATAATCTTTGTTCTGGAAAACTTTTTTTTTTTTTTTAAATTCTTCCCAATACTGCAATATTTGGATTTTAAATACAATAATGCTTCCTTTAATTGCAAGAATGACCCTAAATTACTTAAATCACAAGATTACTTACGATTTTTTTCAACAAACACTTTGCTAACAGGCTGGCTAATTCCAGTGGGAGCAGCAAATACTGGCTGCTGATCTGGGCTCTTTCTGTGCTCATCTTCAACGATATCTTCCTCCTCCACTTCCAGCTCATTGGAACAGTGCATTTCAGCTGGCCGAGGTTTCCTATCAGCACAGAACATACAATGGGGCAGAGAAAGAATAGGAAGTAAAATGTAAAACCTGAAGGCTCCTCTGAGCATTTAACATGTCTAACTTGACTGCTAAGAACTGTTCAGGCTAGTGACCTGCATAAAATTACCCCCGTTTATAATTTTAAGGACTCAAGTTCTCATGAAGTTAGTTAAATAAAACCATAAAGCTAATCCTTGATTTTGGGTTTTTTCTCTCTATTTAAATTCCTTCCTGTGTCAAAACAATAAGGTGGGAAGAAATACATATCAAGAGATTAACAATTAGAAAAAACCCCCATATAAACTAAATACAAGGCCAAGAAAGTGGATGCTTTTGGTAGAAAGGGCACTAAAATGATTTAAAGGCATAGTTCTTGGAGAAAAGGCAAATAAAAAGGATGAGAAAGCAGTTAAGTTTCTCATAAAATTAAGGAAAAGATAGTAAGAATGAAAGAAAGCAGTTACACTTTCTAATTTTTTCATGTATGTGACTGAAATATTAGGCTCATGTAAATGTATTCAGAACTGCAATGCATCCAGGTATGCATAAAACAAACAAGTGAAGAAAGTTAGATCTTAACCCTGGAAGAACTGCACATATATTATTTATTTCACAGGCTGAATGGTATCGTGCACTTCAAGATTTTACATTTTTGTAATGTGACAATGTAAAATACTACTCAGCCATGTGCACTATCACAGTTACTCCAACTTATGAGCTATACTAGTTTTGTCTCACTTTGTTCTTTTTCTCTGTTTGGGGATCACTGTTTCTTCAGCTTCAGGGACATCCATGCCATTTCCATTCTGAAATAGGGATGCAACATTTTGCTGGGTAAAAGAGGTCTCGGAATCTGAAGATTTAAAACAAAACACATGAAAGTTTCACAGCGTTCATAAAATTGGAAATACATTCACTTAAATACATAAGCAGTTATTATATAAACAGCTTTGAATGATAAAAAGGATCTATTTTATCACTTTCAAAACTGTATTGCCATTATTTGCATGAGGGTTTGTACCCTGTGGAATCTGAAATCAGAAACTGAAACTCTAAGCTACCATTCAGAAATTACTTTCAGCTGTTTTAAGTACAAAAGCACATGAAATGTTTTAAGCCAAAATACAAGTTGGCCAATCACATTTCTACGTTACCAACTTTTATTCAGTGCTCTTTCCAATCTACAATTATTTCACATACCAGTAGGTACTTTCTTCTTCTTGCGTTTCCTCTGAGGAGGGACATTATGAGGTTCAGGAGTTAGGGGCTCACTGCTTTCAGACTGCCGACGAACTGCTGCTTGGACAATGCCATCTGAAAACCAGATGAAAAGATCCAGCAACCTCAATTAAGAGCCGCTGAGAGACAGGCAATAAAAAGCTGCCTTTTGCTACATTGTGCAGAACCTCTGTATTTGCCCAGCTTACAGCTGAGATGAAAACGTATTAGCTAGGAAATATAAGAGTTGGGAAATATATGTGGTAAGTAAGAATACACAAAAGTGATAGCTGACAACCCTCCTTTCACCCTGACAGTTTCATGCCCAGGAGGGAAATTTAAGTATCCAAGAAGCAGCACAATTCCCATTTGGGGATACAATAGAGGACTGATTGAAAGAAATCTACCACAGGAGAGAACTATACCTCTGTATTTTCCCTTTCTACATGCAAAGTTTATAATGCAAGGGACAAGAAAAAATTAACAGTTTGTTACAAGCTGATTCACACAGATACCTCCCAAGGCAAAATAGCATAAAAGGGAGATTTAAATGCTAAGCATACACCACAAGAATAAAGGAGGAGGAGGAGGAAAAAAACCACTGAAGGATGTCTACTCCAGTCTGAGAGATGAATTACTACATTTGGGGGAACTATATTTCCATGAGAGGTTAACATGAATTCATCAAATATTCTAGCAGCAGTAGCATCAATTTGCATGATCAGAAGTAGGAGGACAGAGTTACTTCTCCATTTTACATCACATCTGCCTTTTTATAGCTCTCTTGAGTACTGCAGTTTTTATGATAACTGAATCTATCTTTGTTTTCACTTCAAGCACAGGTTTTCCTACCTTTTGTAAAGCTTTGCTGTGCTAAAATGCAAAATTCACCAGCAAAGTAATGGCCAAAGCCAGTGCATACTTTGCATGATCATTCAGGTCACTGAAAACAACAGTAAACAAAACTTGATCCTTAGGAAACCCTGCTAGCAACAGCCCTACTTATTGCATTTAAAGGTCTTTCAGTGACACTTCAATTGTACACTCTTTTAAGCAAATAAAGGAGGGTTACCTCATCAACCCATCATATGAACCCAAGTCAACTGGTCCACCAAAATCCACTACATTCTATCAGCACATTCTGCTTTATCAAAATAGATCAGACTTGTAATCTTGCTTAAAATGGTATTTCTGTTCTGCAGATCTGCTTCTTGTAAAAATACAAAGCCCTGGTGCTAGTCATCTTTTAGGCTCTTAACTCTTTGATGATAATGGAATGATTAACTTGTGACTTTATTTAGCCAAGGACTGACACTGAGCCCATTTGTTACATGAGTTTTATCTTAGTTCATTCAAAAATTCAAGCACTTAACACATTCAACATAACAAGCAGCTTACAGCTGGAAATGACTATTTAATGAAGTATCCAAAAATTCTAGAAAGGAAAAAATAGCAGGAATAAAGGAACTTTTTCAGTTCAATATCAAGATATGCTGTATTAGCAGTACTGGGAGAAAAAGCAGTTCTTCACTTAGTTCAGTTAGCATTACAGACTTGTTCTAAAATGACACCACTTCAGGGAAAAAGATTGCAGTTGTTCAATATAAAATAAATTGTAATAAATTATCTGAGAACACTACTCAAAAAATTAGTACAAGACTGAAACCCATGTATCTGTCAGAAGCTTGGCTACAGTACAGGTCTCACCCAGGATTACAAATACAGTTTTCAGTCTTGGCAGGACCTTACCTAATGGAGTCTTTCCTTTGGGTTTCCTTTTTTTGGGACGACTCAGTGGAATTTCATCTGCAGAACATAAAACAGAAGTATAGGTGCACAGCATGGAGAAACCTCCATCTCCTTTTATTAACAGCCATTCAATTGCTAGTTAAGAAAGGGATTCATTTTTACAAGTGAAGACATCCTTCACCTTTTACAGGTGAGATGACAATTCACCAGTTTACACAAGCAGGAGGAGTACAGAAGATGGCAGGAAAACAGGATAAGAACCTGTCTTAAGTGCAACACGTACGTTCAGTGAAAAATGGAAATACTCTGAATAATGCTGTAAAGAATCAACTTCTTGTTTAGAGCACAGTGACAACGTTTCAGTTACCTTGATTCAGTATGGAAATAGCAAACAGTAAAGAGAACAAAGAAACACAACAGACAGTTCTAACAATTGCAGTGCAGGTGTCCATGCAGTTTAAATACTCAGCCTGCATTTAGAAAGAGTGTAAGGCTCTTTCTTTAAAGAGAGGATGAAGTGACACCAAAAGGAACTACCAATGTTTATAATTCTCTTTAATGCCAGAATAACTCACCTTGGTTTCTGCTTCACATTTAAGGAGAAAAGGTGTTGAAGAGCAATGTAAAAGGAACAAAGATAAGAAGAAAGTTAATTTTGAATCAATTACAATTCACAACAGTGAAATTCACACTGCTGCTTTTGTGATGCATTTCCTTATCCCCACTCCTAGTTCTCTTTAATGAGTAGTTTTGTACAACAGAGTTAAGGGTACGAAGCAATCTTCAAGACTCAACACTTTGTTCGTGACTATGCAGTTTCTTGATTGGCTACCTGTGGATCAGATTAAAAGCTTTAATCGCCTAGCTAATTAAAACTTGTCTTACTGCCTGATATGTAACAAACCAACGAAAGTTATGAAACATTTGAGCACATACATTACTAAAAAGAAACTATATGTTGTCAATCATGAACATTGCATTTGCCTTTTTTTTTTTTTTAAGGAATTCTTAAGTACCATATCATAAAAGCCATGTAATTGCCTTTCCTTCCACACTGGAAAAAAAAAGCCCAAATTCTTCCCTATGCTATGTCAAACTAGTAGACACCTATACCCCTGTTTAAGAATATCTAGTCTAATTTCAGAAATTCCCGAATCATTTGTGATTCAAATAAACTAAAGAACGTGAAACAAAACAAAGAAGGAAGGAAGAAGAGATTGAAAAGAAGGATATCAATAAAACTAAAGTAGATGTTAATAAATCTAAAGTAGCTATTTGTCTGAAACCCTTTAAAAGATTTATCTCTGAGAGTACTAAAACTGAGGTAACATAATAAAATTTCTTGGCCCCTGTAAAACTTTAAAATGCTTTGTATTCCTTCTAAGGGGTTCTGGGACAACAAATTAGCAAGAAAAGCAATTATTTTTAAAGCCGTTATGACTACTCAGATGTTTATTTAACTTATTTCTCTCCCTTAATTTCATTACTTTTAAAAACATTGCAGTACAGAACCATGATCAATTCCACAGAATAAACTGATTTTACCTTGGCACTGGAGGGAGGGCACGAGGTGGGCACTGAAAGACAAGAGAAGAGACAAAAGTCAACTTCTGTTAGCGTGAAACCACCTCCCAGAAAACGGCTATTTCCAGATATGGTCAGAACACTCTTAAGTATGATTTGCTTTGTATACCTCTTAAATAGCTAGAGATTCCTGATGGAGATGTTATATAAATGTAATATGTAAAAGACGCAGGAATAATATGCTTTTACCACAGTTCTGATGGGCACTGCATTAGGGACATCTACCTAACAGCTGTGTGTGAGGCACAGCTTGCATTTCAACTTCTCTTGAATAATTTCCACTTTTCATGTAAGGTACTGCTTTTATTGGAAAGCTTACCAGTCATTCTGTTTAAATATCAAAATACTGCAATAATTTATGCATTCATTGTACTTGCACAGTATACAGTGTGAGCTGAGTATTTTCTATTAATGAAGTCGTAAATTCAGAACAATAGTAAAAGCAATAAAAGGAAACAAGCTTGTTTATGAAAAATATTTTTAAATATGATAAAACATTAATTTTAATATATTTTTAAAAATATTTACCAGCAGGTCAAACACAACTGAAATCTAAAAATAAGTAGCTCCTGTTAACAACCTGAAACTGAACTCTTGCGCTTTCTCTCATCTAGAAAAAGGCAGTTTACTTTCAGATTTTGTATTATATAACTATATTGAAAGACTATACATGAATAAACATTTCCCACGCTCCAAAAATTCAGTTGATATCAGAAATAAAAACAGACTGTAAGGCTGGTAAGACTCAAAGATCCACAAACTTACCACTTGTTTCTTTCCCATATCATTTGAAGCTGTTGCCTGAAAGAGGCACTGTGAACTGGGCTATACTCCCTCACGCTGCTCACGCTGAACCTCAGCTAATTCTGAACTAAAAATAAGCTTCTAGCAGCCAGGATTAGCTGGACGTGAACCTTCCTGCCCCTGGGTTAGGGCCCAGTACTACTCCCATTTGAAACAGCAGGAGTTTGTTCCATGGCAGGGAACGTTACTTGCACTGAAAAACCTGTAACTCCACATGCTGGTACAGGTTCCAGTGAGCAAGTTCTACTCAGGTTTGTTTACCAAAAAGAAATTAGACACCTCATGCAAGGAAGGGTTTGCAGGATTAGGCCTCAAATCTCTCACTTGGATTTTGGCCATGCTGAAGACTGACAGCAAGTGCCATTTACACAGGTAGAGAACAGCACACCTTGAGTGGCATCCAGCAAACTGGTCAGGACAGGTCATACCACACAGGTGCACCGTAAGGCAGAAAAAATACTGATAAAGGTCAGAGCTCATTACTTCTATTGTTTCCTACGTTCTTGTGGCAGTAATTATTAAATGCTTAGGGTAATTGATATTTTAAAAACCTACAATCTAAAATCTAAAAAAAAACCCTAAAAAGTAAAAAAAACCCACAAACCCTTTTATATAGCATTCACTGCCTGCACTGTAGTATGTCTGTGTTCTGTAGTACCTATTTTGTTACCTTCTACGAAACAACTAAGTGAATTAATTTCTCTATCATTTATTCCTTGCAACAAAGGAAATCACATGCAAGCAGGCAGTCCCATCTGTATGAAAGCCCCTGACTCTGCTGCACAAATACCAGCTTTACTCCATTAGTTTCCAGTTTCTCAGAGTCTGAAGGAACTCACTCCAAGCTCCATAGAAAGGGTGAGTTTGGGCACAGGTTTCCAGGAGCATTTTGTTACTGACAGAAGAGCTGCTGAGTGCTAACATAGCCATAGCAGCCCTGAAGCCCAGAGACTCCCTCAAACCAGGTAGCCGCCGCCTCAGTGAAACCCTGTGTTTGTGCACATGAGCCAGGCCACAGGATGGTGGGACGCACCTGGGAACTCTCACTCAGGGAAAAAACTAAACCACCCAACCCCCTGGGTGTCCATTCAGGGATGCAGAGCAGAAAATGCCTTCGCTCCTAAGCGCGGCTGGTATGAAACAGCAGCGAGCAGATGTATTTATTCCCTGAGTGCAGTGAGCTAAGCTGCCACCACGAGACCTCGGACGTGGTACCGAAGTGGCAGTTACGCCCAAACTCGAAGGTTTAAAAACGCTCAACGAGCTTTTACAGATTTAAAGCTTTGCATACATTTTATATATATATATATATATATATGAAAACAATGAGGAAATGCTTGTGTCCCCAGCAAAGGATGAGCAGAAACGTGCAACCCTGGGGCCGGCTACACCCCACCCCCGCCGGCGCGGGGATGCAGGAGCCGCGCTGCCAGTGCGCCCCGCTCCCGCGCCGTTCCGCAGCTCCGTCTCCCCGGCAGCAACTGCTACCGCTGACAGCGCCGGTACAACTCTTCAGCAACAGCTCTCAGGGCGGACCGAGCTCCCGCCGCCGCCGGTGCTCACAGCCGGGCGCACCGGGCTGCCGC